AGAAAGTCAGTTTATTTAGCACAATTGGTCAATTGCAGCTTGCCGTTGGCTGGAAACTGTACGTTTATGTCACGGAATGCACTAATCACCCAAAAAATATTACCGCCACCCGGCGTGTAAATGGATCTAACTCTTTGAACGTACAATAGTGTGGTTGTGAAGCAGAAAGTCAGTTTATTTAGCACAATCGGTCAATTGCAGCTTGCCGTTGGCTGGAAACTGTACGTTTATGTCACTGGAATGCACTAATCACCCAAAAAATATTACCGCCAGCCCCGGCGTGTAAATGGATTTAACTCTTTGAACGTACAATAGTGGTTGTGAAGCAGAAAGTCAGTTTATTTAGCACAATCGGTCAATTGCAGCTTGCCGTTGGCTGGAAACTGTACGTTTATGTCACTGGAATGCACTAATCACCCCAAAAAATATTACCGCCACCCGGCGTGTAAATGGATCTAACTCTTTGAACGTACAATAGTGGTTGTGAAGCAGAAAGTCAGTTTATTTAGCACAATCGGTCAATTGCAGCTTGCCGTTGGCTGGAAACTGTACGTTTGTGTCACTGGAATGCACTAATCACCCAAAAAATATTACCTCCAGCCGGCGTGTAAATGGATTTAACTCTTTGAACGTACAATAGTGGTTGTGAAGCAGAAAGTCAGTTTATTTTGCACAATCGGCAAACTGCTAGCACCAACTGTGCACGACAGCCACCAAAAAAAAAAAGGGTGTATGTCACTTTAAATTTTCGATTCTTTGATAGCTGTGGCCCTAAGTAACGATTCTGTGTCCCTGAGTAACGATTCTGTGTCCCTGAGTAACGATTCTGTGTCCCTGAGTAACGATTCTGTGGCCCTAAAATCTCTGTGGCCCTAACTCTGTCCCTTAATACAGACAGGTCTGTCTCTCTTGAATGACCGGAGGCTAATGGAGAATTCTAAGATGGCCGCGATTTATAGTGCTGGCTGGCTGCTGATTGGCTAATGCGATCACATGTCATGAATGCATTATGGGTCAGTGCGCCTTGTCTGCGCGCCTTCCCAGAGATCCCCGCCCCATCTTCTCTGTCCATTTTTCTCCGTGGCCACAGATGTCGCCGCCATTTTTGGGAAAGTTCGATTCGTGCATCCGAAGTTTGCTAATCTTCGGAACGAATTCCACTTCGTCATGTTCGATTCGCTCATCTCTAATAATCAGTTTGAAGACAAAATTGACCTGTTAGAAGCAGAGTGGTCTGACCTAAAACTCTCCATTCAAAATCGACTCTCTTTTAATGAGACTGTGAAAAGATTGAATCAGCAGAAAGAAAGATTCAGCAACATACTCCCTCTGTTCAATTTCTGTGCTGTACTTCCACTAACAACCGCCTCATGTGAACGTGGCTTTAGCTACCAAAACAGAATAAAGACACTGCCATTGATAAGTGGTACTTTTCTTCAGAAAGGGGACGTTACACAAGTCTTGGTCCGGCTGTGAAACAAAAACCATAGGAAATCTTGATGTGTAACAGGCTTTTGTCATCCAAAAAATGATTTTTTGCTGTGTTTTTTCTTCATGGAATAGATTGCAATCCACACACAGCCATTGAAGTGGTATTTGGCATCAGAAAAAGGTATTACAAAAGTCGTGGTCCTGCTGTACAATGAAAACCATTGCAAATCTTGAGGTGAAACTGGCTTCCTAATGATTTTTGGCATCCAAATAATCATTTTTTTGGTGTTTTTTTCTTCATGGAATAGAATGCAATCTACACACAGCCACTGAAGTGGTATTTTGCATCAGAAAAAGGGTATTACAAAAGTCTTGGTCCTGCTGTACAACACAAACCATGGCTGCTCTATGTAAAATGTTTACTAATGTTATGCCATGTTTTTTGGCATCTAAATAAGCACTTTTTTGTTTTTTCTTAATGCACTACTTCTTTTAGCTCTCTTTTAATAAGATGCTGGAGATAAAAAATGCAAAATGTTTACTAATGTTATCTATTTTATGCAATGTTTTTTGGCCATCAGAGGCACTTTTTTATTTTTTTCTTAATGCCACACTTCTCTAAGGTCTCTGCTGGAGATAAAAAATACAACATGTTTACAGTAACTATTATTCCATGTTTTTTGCCATCAAAATAAGCACTTTTTCTTATGCTATACTTCTGTAAACTAAACTTACATCTTTTAAAAGAGACTTTAGTTACTAAAATCTCTTTTTAAAGATTCAGGAGATAAACCCAAAAAATGCAAAATATTCACTACAGGTTTAGAGCTGTAAAACTCGATATTTTGATTGCACCCTATTGCTATTAAGCTATTGCTGTTATGTTTAAATTGACATAATAAAGATATGTTATAATTGCAGTTTTTTATATTGTGGACTCTTTATTCCAAAGAAAAATGTAGTTTCATAAGATTTAAGGGGCGGTTTGGGGGTGGGTTGGGGGAGGGGTTGGGGCAGGCCAGAGGTGGGGTTGAGGGCGGACCTGGGCAAGGTTGGGTGGGGCAACTGGTGGAGAGTAAGTTATGTGACCTGCTAATAGGTCTGGACTCGAAATTTTAACCTATATATATATATAATATATATATATATATATATATATATAATATATATCAACTCAGCTTAGAAAGAGCCCCAGTCCATCCTAAAGTCATCTTTCAGTTGTAGGAATGAAGAGTTTATTAAGCCATTTATGTGTAATTTTATAGTGAGGGCCTCTTGGACTGGAAGGGATGTAACCAAGGCCACAGATGGGGTCTATAGGGAACCAGACTGAGGAGAGAGGCCCCAGGACAGCTAATGCCAAGGGCCACAGCAAGGAAAGGATTAATGAGGTACCTGACCAACAATCTTCAATGAAGGGTCCCAATCAGACTTTGCTCAGGTTCCACAGTGTAAAACGTGGAAGCTATGAGGTGGGTGTGCAAAATAATCTCAAATGAGGGGCCCCAAGGTGACTCTACTCAGGGGCCACACTGTAGTCCTTGGAAGGCATAAGGTTGGTGTAAGATCATCAGGGAGAAAAAAAAGGGAAAGGAGAGAAGAGGCTATGAAAGCATCAGACAGAGAGGGCTCCTCAGAGTTCTGCTCAGTGCTCTAGGATATTTAAAGCCTGGAAGGAATTAATGATATGCCAGGTTGAGGATCTCCAGTGAGGGGCCCCTGGGTGGCAAAACTCAGGGGCCACAGATGGAGCAGAAGAAGGAAAGGGTGCATTGGACAGGTAAGGCAGGCTCAGGGGCCACAAGGTAAGCTATGCTGGGCAGATGGTTAATGGGTTCCAGTGAAGGGCCTCAAGTGGCTGTGCTCAGAAGCCATAAGGCACACAAAAAGAAGAATAGGGCTCTCACCTTTGAGCCACATCCTGGGAAATCCATCTTTCTCCCTCTGCTCTCCTCTCTGCCACATCACCTGTCCTGTGGCTGCTGCTAGATTGCAGACACAGACTGTCAGCTACACTGTTCTCCTATAACTGAATGAATGAAATCACACTAGTGGACAAAGTTTGAGTACCACCCGTGGTTGCTATAATTAGGCAGTGGGATTCTTCTATTCAAACTCCCCCCCCATAAACATAAATTTATTCATTACCAGATATAGCTATTGCAGAACAACATATTATCCTGGAAAATTCTGGTCAGTTGGTAAGTATCAATATGTAGTCAGCCAACAAACTTTGGACTTTAATTGGTCTGTGTATGGGTAGCTAAAATAAAACTTCAGACAAAGAATTGACAAAAAGTATTTGTAATTCTGTTCATCTGTTCTTAGGATTGATATGCCTCATTATATAAAGCCAATGAATCACATTATTCTGCAGAAACTGTAGATTTGCAACGTCATGTGTCATTATCCAGCCATCAGCCTTTTCTGCTGTCTATAGATGAGCCCTTGTGCCGTATTCCTCTTGTAAGATGCCCACCTGTAAGAAAAGTACTTTGCTTACCCAAGTGGGGTTATTTTTTTGACTTATACTGCTCAGACCTGGGTCCAACTCCATTTAGCAAATTCGTAAACAATATAGAGGTTGGAAAAAATAGCTCAGACTCAGTGTATGCTGATGATACAAAGCTAAGCAGGGCAATAGCTTAATAACACAATAGCATATGGCAACTTTACAAGAAGTCCTAGATAAAATAGAGGGGTGGGCAGCTATATGGCAAATGAGGTTTTATATTGCAAAATGTAATGTAATGCTCAAAATATGCATGGAGGTTACTCTCTATGCACTTTCTGACAGGTTCACTTTAACCACTAGCCTACAGGGCACTTATACCCCCTTCCTGCCCAGGCCAATTTCCAGCTTTCAGCGCTGTCACACTTTGAATGACAATTGTGCAGTCATGTAACACTGTACCCATATTAAATTTTTCTAGCATTTTTTTTAAACAGATAGAGCTTTCTTTTGGTGGTATTTAATCACCTCTGGGATTTTTATTTTTTCCTAAACAAACCAAAAACCACTGAAAATTTTGGAAAAAAAAAAGTTTTTTCTTAGTTTTTGTTATACAATTTTGTAAATAAGTGATTTTTTCTCCTTCACTGATGTGTGCTAATGAGGCTGCAGTGATGGGCACTGATAGGCTGCACTGATGGACACTGATAGGTGGCACTGATGGGCACTGATGAGGAGGCACTGGTAGGTTGCACTGATGGGCATTGACAGGCATCACTGATGGCCACTGAAAGGCAGCACTGATATATGGCACTGATATATGGCACTGATATATGACACTGATATATGGCACTGCATATAGGCAGCACTGACGGGCATATGGCACTGATACGGCTGACTGGCACTGATGGCACTGACTGGCACTGTTATAGCAGCACTGACTGGCACTGATAGGCGGCACTGACTGGCACTGTTATGCGGCACTGACTGGCACTGATAGGCAGCACTGGCACTGATGGCACTGCACTGATAGGGCAGCACTGACTGGCACTAGGCGGACTGGCACTGATAGCACTGTGGCACTGACTTGGTCACTGACTGATAGGTGGCACTGATTGGCAGCACTGATGGGTGGCACTGATTGGCATTGATAGGTGGCACTGACTGGCACTGATGGGTGACATTGAAAGGCAGCTCAGATGGGCACTGATATGTGGCATTGATGTGCACTGGTATGCACTGATATGTGGCATTGATGTGGCACTGATGGGCACGTGGCACTGATGGACACTGACAGGTGGCACTTCTGGGGCCACACTGATCATCAGGGCACACTGATCATCAGTGCCCTGATGATCAGTGTACATGTTCGCTCCGCAGAAAGCCGATACCGGCTCCCCTCTCCTCTCGAGCTGTCAGCATGACAGCTCGAGAGGAGAGAAATGCCGATAACCGGCATTTCCGTGTTTACATGTGATCAGCTGTGATTGGACACAGCTGATCACATGACCGAGCCGACATCTTCGGCTCCTTCCGTGATCTGCTGTGTCCGAAGCGCTCCCTGAGCTGCGCATGCGCGGTGAGAATGGAAGGACGCCATATGACGTCCTCCCAGAACGAGAGAACCACCTTGCGCCCGTCATTGTACTATATGGCGGGCAGAAGGTGGTTAAAGTAGCCACTGCAATTATAGCTCAAAGTATGTGCTCAGTAGAGATCCGTTATACTGGGTAGAACAGCAGAGGTAATTGCCATACCACCCCTTTGCTTATTACTCAGGCGCCCTCCTGAAAGAGGGAGGGGGCCTATTTAAGGTAACGAATTACCTGAAAAATAAGCAGGCATTGGCACTTTTTTCTTTTAACTAACAAGAGACTCTCAGGGTACAGGATTTAACTCAAAGAAAGTAAAAATCTCTTCATGAAACAGTATTATTATGAGCAATTTTCATCCTGGATTTTAATATGCAGCAATAATGAAAAGAAGTACTCATTATCCTTTTTTGCATATATGTTTCTAATAGTGTACGAAGAAAAGACTGTTAGAAGCTTTCTATAACCGAATATCTGCTTATTAAACATTTACTAACACACAGTATGTATGAATGAGTTGGATCTTAATAGAATAGTTGAGTTGAGTTGTTATAATTCTATTCAAGATTGGAAAAGTAAGATAAACAGACTTTTATAGTCTATGTGAATATGTGAATACATAGTACATAGTGTATATGGATATATATCTTGGCTTTTTCTCTATATTCTAGCAACATCTGGTAGTAATTGGCTAGCTAGCTTTCCTCCCCCCATCTCTCTGGGTAGGAGCTAAAGTTCCACTAATAAGAGGATTGTAAGAATCTATTTCATACATGTTAAGCATACAAGATTTATACTGTAATATTTCTTGATTAGGATATCTATATACAATATAACTTTATATTAAGAATACTTTTGGGAGAAATATATATATAATATATATTTGTAACACATCCCACCCCCCCTAACTGATGGAGTGTCAGTGAAGTTCTGATTAGAGGTCCCAAGGAGTAAATTTCAGACTCTGGCCTAGGGGAGGGGGAGCAAGACTGAAGGTTTGTTCAATACATCTGTCACCATATATCATTGTGGGACTATAAGAAACAGGAAAACCAGTCCACTTTTAGGAGAAGGTGGGGGCTGAATTGCTCCTTATAGAGCAGAACAAATACTTTTTTTCATGAACCTTGGAGATTACCAGCTGGGCTAAGGAGCCCACAGTCTCACACTACACACAGACAATTATACACACAAATTTTATCTCAAGAACATAACTATACTTTTTTGGACATTGTCTAACATTCTGTATTCCAATATTTTATTTCTAATTTTATGCAATATTATTATTACATCCATTTTTGCGTTTATGCAAGAGCTGGGAGGACTTTCTAGTAAGGACATTTCTCATCAATATAAGTTAACAAACTATAGAGACAATTCGGGATTTTACACAGACCATCTAGCAGGGTCAGTAGAAGGGCTGTAATGTACCTCCTTTCTTTGCTGTGTAACTTTCTCTCTCTCTGCACCACCAATCACTTTCAACTTTCCAAGGCAGGTTTGATTCTAATTAGTGGCTTTTGGAAACATCAAGGTAATGGATTTATATCCATTAGGTGTCTATATGTGAACAGTGACAAGGAGAGTGTTCCATCATCACAAACAGGTGTGTTTCAGGATCATCAAAATATTGACAACGGGGGGTGGGTTGTAAACTGATGCAGTACATCAATGTCTTGCTGAATAACTATAGCCTTAAAGTAGAACTTCACTCTCTCAATCAATATTGACTATTTTTAATCCTTATGCTGCTACTGCTAGCATTAGTAAATGGATAGGAAAGTATATCAGATTTACTTGATACAAATCTTGTGAAAGTGTATACTTGTGAGCTACTATGGTGGCACTGAAATACTTGTAAAAAATTTATTAACTCCTTCAAATATAATGGTGCATCAACACATAAAACACATACTCAAAATACTGTGTGACAATGAACAAATAAAATATTGGATGTGTCGCGCTCCTCAAAAAGAAATTTTTTCTAGTGATGTGTGATACATATAAAGTAAATAAACCTAAATAAATACAGTCATGGCCGAAATTGTTGGCACCCTTGATATTTCTCCAGGAAATCATGTATTTCTCACGAAACGTATTGCATTAACACATGTTTTGCTATACACATGTTTATTCCCTTTGTGTGTATTGGGACAAAACAAAAAAAGGGAGGAAAGAAAGCAAATTCGACATAATGTCACACAAACCTCCAAAAATGGGCTGGACAAAAGTATTGGCACCCTTTCACAACTGCGGATAAATAAGAATGTTACAAGCATGTGATGCTCCTGTAAACTCACCTGGGGCAAGTAACAGGTGTGGGCAATATAGAAATCACACCTGAAAGCAGATAAAAAGGAGAGACGTTCACTTAACCTTTGCATTGTGTGTCTGTCTGTGCCACACTAAGCATGGACAACAGAAAGAAGAGACGAGAACTGTCTGAGGACCTGAGAACCAAAATTGTGGCAAAATATCAACAATCTCAAGGTTACAAGTCCATCTCCAGAGAACTAGATTTGCCTTTGTCCACAGTGCGCAACATTATCAAGAAGTTTGCAACCCATGGCACTGTAGCTAATCTCCCTGGTCGTGGACGGATGAGGAAAATTGATGAAAGATTGCAACGCAGAATAGTCCGGATGGTGGATAAGCAGCCCCAAACATGTTCCAAAGACATTCAAGCTGTCCTGCAGGCTCAGGGAGCATCAGTGTCAGCGCGAACTATCCGTCGACATTTAAATGAAATGAAACGCTATGGCAGGAGACCCAGGAGGACCCCACTGCTGACACAGAGACATAAAAAAGCAAGACTACAGTTTGCCAAAATGTACTTGAGTAAGCCAAAAGCCTTCTGGGAAAACGTCTTGGACAGATGAGACCAAGATAGAGCTTTTCGGTAAAGCACATCATTCTACTGTTTACCGAAAACGGAATGAGGCCTACAAAGAACAAAACACAGTACCTACGGTAAAATATGGTGGAGGTTCAATGATGTTTTGGGGTTGTTTTGCTGCCTCTGGCACTGGGTGCCTTGACTGTGTGCAAGGCATCATGAAATCTGAGGATTACCAAAGGATTTTGGGTCGCACTGTAGGGCCCAGTGTCAGAAAGCTGGGTTTGCGTCCAAGATCCTGGGTCTTCCAGCAGGACAATGACCCCAAACATACGTCAAAAAGCACTCAGAAATGGATGGCAAAGAAGCGCTGGAGAGTTCTGAAGTGGCCAGCAATGAGCCCAGATCTAAATCCCATTGAACACCTGTGGAGAGATCTTAAAATTGCTGTTGGGAAAAGGTGTCCTTCCAATAAGAGAGTATACTTGTGATACCTGGAGCTGTTTGCAAAGGAAGAGTGGTCCAAAATTCCGGGTGAGAGGTGTCAGAAGCTTATTGATGGTTATAGGAAGCGACTGATTTCAGTTATGTTTTCCAAAGGGTGTGCAACCAAATATTAAGTTAAGGGTGCCAATACTTTTGTCCAGCCCATTTTTGGGGTTTTGTGTGACATTATGTCATATTTGCTTTTCTGCCTCTGTTTTATATTTGTTCCAATACATACAAAGGGAATAAACATGTGTATAGCAAAACATGTGTTAATGCAATACCTTTTTTGTGTGAAATACTTGATTTTCAGGAAAAATATCAAGGGTGCCAACAATTTCGGCCATGACTGTATTACATAAATATTAAATACATTGTGATGTAACATATATTTGAAAACTCCCAGTGCTATAATTAATTGAATGGTGATTAAAAAAAATTTTTTACTGTGCAAAAAAAATAATTTGTATGACATAAAAAATGTGCAAAGAAACCCTCCTTGCACCGTGATATGTATGTGCAAAAATAAATATGTGCAATTTGCAAATATTGCCCCAAAACAATAATGTATGATAAATATATATATAATGGAATGTAATAATCAAATTAATATATATAAAAAATAAATAACAATAAAAATAAAAAATAAATGATGATGGAAAACTGTGCAAACAATACTTCACTTATTGCAACAAAGGATGGTGATGTAAGCTGTATATTTCTTATTCTTTAGCTTTGAATGACATATGATAGTCCCAATTTGTTTGTGCAAATATATGGAAATTATATTGTTATTGAGGTAGTCTGTGGTTCTACTTTCCTTCCACTAGATGGCCTCCCAATTCCTTCTGGGTTGTAAGGGCTGGATGGATGGATATAGATATCTCCCCTCGTGTTGTCCGGGGTCTATTTCCTATCACCTCTTCCTCCCCTGTATTCCTCCGGTTTAGGCCATAAAAAAGAAAAAGATACCCACAGAGCCCCTCCCCATGGCGTCCCCATGACGTCACGACGCCAATAGCAGCGGAACGGCGAGTACTGTCTTTGTGTGAGGGCACACATCTATATAAAAACGCTCTGTATTATCTTGTGGAATGTGAGTTCGCATTTGTCTGGAAACGCATTAAACCCCTTTATAAAGGATAAAACACCATGTGGGTATCTTTTTCTTTTATGGCCTAAACCGGAGGAATACAGGGGAGGAAGAGGTGATAGGAAATAGACCCCGGACAACACGAGGGGAGATATCTATATCCATCCATCCTTCCCTTACAACCCAGAAGGAATTGGGAGGCCATCTAGTGGAAGGAAAGTAGAACCACAGACTACCTCAATAACAATATACTTTCCATATATTTGCACAAACAAATTGGGACTATCATATGTCATTCAAAGCTAAAGAATAAGAAATATACAGCTTACATCACCATCCTTTGTTGCAATAAGTGAAGTATTGTTTGCACAGTTTTCCATCATCATTTATTTTTTATTTTTATTGTTATTTATTTTTTATATATAATTTGATTATTACACTCCATTATATATATATTTATCATACATTATTGTTTTGGGGCAATATTTGCAAATTGCACATATTTATTTTTGCACATACATATC